AGAGAGAGAGAGAGAGAGAGAGAGAGAGAGAGAGAGAGAGAGAGAGAGAGAGAAGAAGAAGAAGAAGAAGAAGAAGAAGAAGAAGAAGAAGAAGAAGAATCTGGATGCAAAGAGCTCTCCAGGAAGGTGGGCTAAGTCCTGTCAGTTGCCGTTGTGGGTGGCCCGACAGGGAAACCTGTAATTTGAAAGAGGAAAACAAATCCGAATACGTAAAGAATACAATGATGCGGGAAATGACCATGAATCAGATGTGCCCTGTCTATGTCTATCTAGTATCTACTACTATGCTGAGCATGATTGTGTTTGAGGTACTACTACAGTCTACTAGGTGTCATATTAGAAATTCAAATTACTGCAGTCACTGTCACAGTGGGTGTTTTCCGGCAACCCAAACCTTGGTAAGAAACTGTCGAGGAGTCCTGCTAAGCGAACTGACTGCACTAGGTGTCTTAGACTATGTGACAGAGTGACAGTTGGTAGTGTTAAGTGTGAGCCTGCCTGACGACAGCGCCTGCCTGCAAAGGCTGCAATCATCGACTAACTTGAAGTCTTAAAGTTAACCTCTTCCTTCTAATGACGAGGTTTCCACGAAGTTCACTAAATTAAATATGGAATTGCTCCTTCTCCTACAGCCCCATCGCAGTTTGAAATTCGAATCCTGATGGAATTGCTCGGACAGGTAAGGATGGCGAACTGCCAGTGGGAAAAAGTCCGCAATTCAAACGGATTATGTTCCTCTCCTCTTCGGAAACCCCCTTCTTTTCCAGTCCCTGTTCCTGTTCCTGTTCCTGTTCCTGTTTCTGTTCCTGTTCCTGTTCCTCTTCCTGTTCCTGGTCCTGGTCCTGGTCCTGGTCCTGGTCCTGGTCCTGGTCCTGGCCTGGTCCTGGTCCTATTCCTGGTCCTGTTCCTGGTCCTGGTCCTGTTCCTGGTTCTGGTCCTCCTGGTGCTTTTCTTGCTCCAGGCCTGCGCGACCTGGTCCTTTTCTTGGTCCTGCGCCTGCGGCTGCTCCTATTGCTATTCCTGTTGCTGTTCCAGTTCCTCCGTTTGCCGGTTCCTGTTCCTGCTCGATGATCCTGTTCCTGTTCCTGTTCCTGCTACTTCTCTTCCTGGTCCTGTTCCTGGTCCTGTTACTAGTCGTTGTCCTTCTCCTTCTCCTGGGCCTGTTCCCGTTCCTGTTGCCGTTCCCGCTTCCGCTTTTTCCTCTTGGATGATCCTGATCCTGTTAACTTCTGATCCTGATCCTGATCCTGATCCTGATCCTGATCCTGATCCTGATGCTGATCATGATGATCCTAATGCTGCTGGATGTGGACGTTCTTCGGCCCTGCTCAACGTTTTGAGTGTTCTGCCTGTCCAGCTGATCTTGTCGCTTTCAAGGTGAGTGGCATTTGTTTTTTTGTTGTCGTCTCTCCTCCCTTGCGTCGCCCGTTAGATGATCACTGTTGTCTGTTTAACTGCTGTAGGAGGATCGCGTTTTTTTTTTGGTTGACGTCTAGCTTCGTGAGAACCGCAGGTGAGGTGATGCGGCAGGGGCAGGTTTTGGAGGGAAGCTGGATTGCCGCAGGAACTTCTAATCAGTCTTCAGCGACTGATGAGCAAAAAGAATGCAAGTACGAGTGTGTGTGCGTGGGTGGGTGGGTGGGGGGGGGGGTAGGGTACTGGTAATACAGAAGGTTGGTGAAGCTAGTGCTAATTTGAAAGAATGAAACAGAAGGAGAGGGGGCCAGAGGGAGACAAAAAAATAAGTGAAAGAATAACAAATTGAAGCCCCCTTTTCCATAACAGTACGGAGAACAAAGCTGCACTGCACTAATTGCAAGGCAAAAAAAAGGTAAAACACTCAGTCTAAAAAATCCAATTTTTCAAAGTCAGTCGTCGAGAGCAACCCGGGGGGTCATCCACCTATTGACACAGTGTTTCCTGACTCTGGCCGCTAAGATGTACCTCCCTCCCCTCTTCCCCCCTCCCCCCTCCCCCCTCCCTCAGTCTCTGTCACCCTCCTCCTGCTGCTTATATACTGTCTCTTATACACATCTAGATGTGTATAAGAGACAGGAACAAAGCTGCACTGCACTAATTGCAAGGCAAAAAAAAGGTAAAACACTCAGTCTAAAAAATCCAATTTTTCAAAGTCAGTCGTCGAGAGCAACCCGGGGGGTCATCCACCTATTGACACAGTGTTTCCTGACTCTGGCCGCTAAGATGTACCTCCCTCCCCTCTTCTCCCCCCCCCCCCCCCCCCTCCCCCCTCCCCCCTCCCTCAGTCTCTGTCACCCTCCTCCTGCTGCTTATATATGTGGTGACTTGAGGACGCCGGAGTCCCAGAGGCCTATAACCTCCCAGCTGTGGCCTCGATAGGGGCCAAAAACGGAGCAGCTCCAGTAGCAGAGCAAATCTCAGAGTCTCTTTTTGTATTTGTACGGACATGATCCGTCGCGTTTAGCCAAATGATGTGACCATGCACACTAATTGTGAGGAGGAGAGGGGGACTTTCAGTTGGCAAGGAAGAGGAGAAGGGTCATGAAGGCGGCAGCGAATGAAATGAAGGATTTGGGCACGAAGACGCTGCGTGCGCTGTTGCTGGCTTCCAAAGGGCCCAGAACCCTTTGGCCCTTTGGAACCGCTGCGCGCGCCTCAAGTGCCAGACTGACTGGAGCCCTAGAAACCGTTTCGAGCGATGGACCGGCCTCAGACTCTTCGGCCCCAGGAGCGGAACCTGACGCCTCTGCAGATTCCTCTGCAGGTGTCTCTCCAGACGCACTCGACTCAGCTCCCTCCTTGGGACCTTCCCCTCCCTCCTTGGTACCTTCCCCCCCTTCAGAGGGACGGGACAGAGCGGCCTCTCCGGAACCTTCCGCTGGCTTGGCCTCCCCTCCTTCGGGGGCACGGGACTCGGTTGCTCCACCCTCTGCCCTTGGAGTGCCATTTTCACCGGCGGGGGTTTCACTGGGGGTGGAGGTTTCACCGGTGGTGGCTTCTCCCTCGGTGGGCTTTTCAGTAGGGGGCTTCGAGACGATGGCCGGGGTCTCTTCACTCGGGACAGTGGGTTCCGGGACTACAGCCGGAACAGATTCCACTGGGACAGGCACCACACCGGGACGGGTCGGCGGGACCGACGGAACTGCGGGAGTTTCAGGCACGCTCGGCACTGGCACTTCTGGAGTTGGGACTTCTGCAGTTGGGACTTCTGTAGTTGGGACTGCTGGAGTCGTTGGCTCGGTCACCGTGGCGTTGGGTGCGGCAGGTGGGGGGCAGACCGGGTTGCCGAGGGTCGTACAATGCTGTTGTCGTCAACGAATATTATGGCAAGCGCCAGCATGTCGTCGAGTGGAGGAGAATGGAAAAGGGAGGGAA